CTCTCCTCTCCTCTCCTCTCCTCTCCTCTCCTCTCCTCTCCTCTCCTCTCCTCTCCTCTCCTTCTTTCTCCTTTCTTTTTTTTTCTTTTCCCAAATGAACAACTAGACTCGCTAAAGACCGAGGGGCTAAGGAATGATTCAGCCTTCGGTGATCGTGGATCGGCCGCCAGGGGCCCAACAGGAGGTGGGAATCAACACTGTGTAGGAGCAAGCTTGTAATCCCCACTCGGGCAGGGAAGGAGGTGTCTCTGTGGTGCTGCAAACACCCCCGTAACCTGCGGTGCTCTGAGCTCTGCGGTTGTGTTGTTTGGGACAGATGTTGGTCAGAAGGGAGAACTTGGGTCACCAAACGCAAAGAGGCGTTGAGGAAGCGTTCCCAGCCGCAGTCCCTGCCAGGTGAGGAAGCTTCCTCGTTCTGCACGGACAGCTTCCCTCCAGGCACCAACCAGCAGCACGTTGCTTCTTTCCTCCTACTTCCAGAAAAAACAATCAGTTCCTCATAGGCGAGTTGCCCAAAACTGGGACAGGAAGGAGAGCAGGACGCAGGGCCACACCTCCAGATCGGGGAAAACTCTCTTTGGTGTTGTTTGGCAGGAGGCAGCGCCAGAGAAGACACGCGGAGAGGATGATGGAGAGCCCCCCTCCGCTTCCTCGCCGCCGCCGGGACTCCCTGCCCGCCCCGCCCCCGCCAGCGAACTTCACCGGAGTAAAACCTCCAGGGTTCGGGAAAACAACAACTACAAAAACCACTTTTCCACGCCCTCACCCCTTCCGGACGCGTTAATACCGATTTTTCATCCGACATAAGGGTTTCTGCCTATTTTTTTCAAGCTGCTCTAACGGCATTGTCCGCGCCTCTCTCCCTCCGGAGAGATAAATATAATTTAAAAAATCCCCAACCCTCAAAAAGTATATTACATTACACCTGTTATTCTTACCACTATAAATAAGATTATTAATAATCCTCCTTAGCATTATTATTGAGAGAAAGCACAAAGAAACCAACCTGCGGAGCGGTGCCCTCTCCTCTGAACGGACGGACAGACGGTAGGACGGACAGAGAGGGAGGGAGAATCAGGCTTGGTGAGACCCTTCCGTGCCCCCTTCCCCCAGTTCGGTGGGAGCCACTGCTCACCGCCTGTCGGTACATGGGATGGTGCCGAGCCCGGAGCAGCCGACAACGGCGAGAGGGACGCGAGGGGATCGAACAGGGACGCGGGAAACCGCGGAGAAACGGGGGAATCGGGAACGGGAGGATTCAGGAGGGACGGAGGGATCGGGAAGGGAAGGGGGGTCGAGGAGGGATGGGGGGGATGTGATGAGGCGCTGCCGCCCCCAGGCGGTGCCGCACGGAAGCGCCTCGCTCCTCACACGCGATGCATCCCCGCATCCTCCCGCTCCCTCGGGCATCCCGCACCACCGTTCCCGCTGCCTCGGGAACCAAGAAACGGGTAAACATCACAATAGGCAGGAAAAATAGTGACAGTAACGACAAGGCGTGCGGAAGCGAGGTGTGTGTGAGAGAGAAAAAAATAAATAAAATATGAATAAGTCTAAAAAATAAAGGATACTTTCTGCTTTTTAAGACAGATGCAGTGGGTCCCTGTGGAGCAGCCAGGGGGCAAAGCGAAAAATAGGGAAAAAAGGAAAAATTTGGAAAGAGTGAGGGGAGGAGGAAAGGGAAGAGGTGAGAAAATTGGAAGCAGATGCAGGGGAATGAGGCCGAGGAGGTGGGTCGCAATGAACACGGGGTGAAGGTAGGAGGGCGGCTGAAAAACATGTCCATAAAAAAAAATCATCTGCAGTGTGGAAAAGAACATTTGTCCTTTTTTTTGTGTGTGGTTTTGTTTGTTTGTTTGTTTTTTAAATACAAAAACAAACTGAGGTGGCTGAGGGGTGTGTGATCTTTATTGTTTTGTTTGTTTGTTTGATTTGGGTGGTTTTTGTTCTTTGGTTTTATTTATCTATTTATTTATGTATTAAAATTTTATTTTTATAATTTCATTTTATCCTCTGTTAGGGGCAAGCAGTGGTTCTGTCAGCTGTGGCAGGTGCTCTTTGGTCTTCCCTATCCTACCCCACACATCCCCAAGGAGGTTCTACTGCTGTCCAGAGAAAGAGAAGAGAGTTTATAGATTTTGGTCTCTGTAGGTAGGTGAATGTTTCCTTCAGGAAGCAACACTTAAGGAGTAAGTTCCCACCAGTCATCCCTATTCTCATTGGTCACCAACTCACTTTCATCAGAAAGCCTGAGAAAAACTAACCCTTTGTGGTGGTTTGAAACTCCCAAGGATCCAATTTTTAAGTTCAAGCCCCCCTCCCACAGTCTGCCCCTGTGAGAGGGTTTAGTGATGGTATGGACTTGATATCTTTTTCACTTCATGTGGAGAGTTTTCAGACAAAACACAACCATTTGCTATTGGGGGAAAGGGAAAAATATTTACAAAGGTTTATTTACTCACACCTATATATATATATTTACATTGAATTAAATTCCTCTTTTCCTTCAATAAAAGTCCAAGAAGGAAAGAGAAAAGTCTTTCTGTCACTGCACAGGCCACAGTTCCTTCGTTCCAGTTTTTTGTGGCAGTGGTTAGTGTCCTTCATTTTCCTAAGGCAGCAGATTTAAGTATGGCAGTCAGGATTTTGGTTCTTACTTTGTGGAAATTCCAACCCTGAACCCGAGCCTTCGGGGGATTTCCTTGTAGATCTTCACTCCTCTTGGGGTAGAACATTGAAGGCAGCTTTCAGTTCAGTCTTACCAAAGCTCTCTTGCTCTGTCTCAGCTTCCCAGCATGATAGAAGCAGCAGCAGCAGCAGAGGGCACAGCCACCTCCCCCGTGTTCCACCCTGGCTCAGCTCTCAGGACGACTCCGGGTTCTCAGCTCCTCTGTCTCACTCTAGCTGCTGCTGCATTTTGGGACTCCCTAAAGGTTTGGAAGTCCACCCCTGCTCTTCAGCAGGTCTCTGAGTTTTGGGAAAGTAATACAGTCTTACCCCAAACCAGCTCTGTTGAGTTTTCCTCTGTTTTGTTGCCATCTCTCCCTCCTGCAGGAACATCTCTGCGTCTTTCAGCCGGCTTCATGTTATCTTGTTGCTCCTGGCTATCTTTTTGGCTTTCAGCCATCGCTGTCTCTGTTCAGGGCTCCTCCGCTGCCGCTTTCAATGTTTTCTGCTGCTGCTGACAGTAAGGAAACTCTCCCACCTCTTGATTACGGGAACCGGTCCAGCTTTGACACTACACCGGGTCTCCTGTAGCCTCAGCTGGGGCTGGGGGCTCACTGGCCCCCAGAGGGGGCTCACTGGCCCCCTGTTTCCTCGTGGTTCAGATCATGGCTACCAACCTACTAAAAAACTACCTCACCACCTTCTCTTCTGTTGCTGTGGGTATGTAATTTCCGCAGGGCACATATGAACCTTTGATTGGTCTAGTATTAGCAGTGGGGCAAACCATTACTGCCCCAGAGAAAAGGTTTTTCAAACCACCACACCCTTGAAGGGAAGTGCGTGTTTATTAGTGGACATTAGCTTTACTGAGCCTAACAGACCCCTCTCAGTGGCAGAGTTTTGCTGCTACTGAGAGTAAAACTAGCAAGTTTGGGACATTTGCAGAAAACTGCTATTCCAGGTGCCAGCTGATCCATTCAAAGCTGTTTTCATTGTGACTGTCATGAAGAATCAGAGTCTTGTTTCTGCTGCCACGCCCTGCTTCCTACAAAGTCCTTCTTCTGCTTTGCTTGTGATTACTCATCCCAAAATGCAGGAAAAAATAATTTTTCTTTCTAAAATATCATGGGACTTTGTTTTGTTTTGTATGAATTTTCAGACAAACCTATAAACATGAAAAATGTTTTATCTGGTATTCAGCAACTGACATTCATAAGGCAAGTGTAATGAAAATAAAGTTCTAAATACTTGAAAATCAAATGATCTTTCATTGGCCTAAAGATGGTTGCAATCAAGATTATTCTCTGGGCTAGCTTTTAATTCACAGAGATGCATACAAAAGTCTCCCTCTGTGACTTCATGTTGGACAGTTGTTAAATATAATGGTTAGATGCTCAGCTACTTCTCCTCAACTCTGCCTAAATGCCCATCATACAATTTTGACAAACAGAAAACATACAATTAATAAAAAAAATTAAAAATCTTTTCTCTGTTGGACAATTTCAAAAGAGTAAGATCAAAATGAATAGAAGTAACATGCATTTTTTCCTGCTATGTCCAGAGCAGTAGACATAAGTGTTAGGTGCTAGATACCAGAAGGTTTTATTAAGGCGTGGAGCTGCCTACTCCCTCCATTCTTTAATGTAGTTTTGAGGATCCTCAGGTTTTCTGTATATTTATAATTTCCTTATAAAACAAGCTCTAGACTCCAGTATAGACATTCACTTTCTCAACCAGAGTCACTGCAGCACATAACAACACCACTGTTATTTTTGTAATGGATTTAATCACTAATCAAATAAATGAGTTTATTACAGGGGAAGAAATATGAAATACCAAAGTTAAATTTATATTTCCTTTTCTTTCCCTTCACTTCATTACACATGTTTTGGACTATATTGCTTTTTAAAATGTTGAGCAATACTGAGGTTATGTATTTTTAAAATGAAAATGTAGACCCAAAATGTATTCAGGTTTGCTTCCCCATACAGATGTAATGCTATGATTCTTATGGCCTATTGTCACCCTGAGAGCTTTACTTTCTGACTCAGAGGTGATCTTAGAAGATCACTGCTTCTGTTACTGCAGTGAAGCCTCTTGACTTGGGGTATAAGCAATAACAAGACTTCCACTAAGTTTCCCAAAAGCAAGAGAGGAGCTTCAGTCCCAGAAGTAGAATCCACAACACTGGACTAGCATTGAGAAGTACAGGTAGACTGTAACTATAATGATTTCAAAGTTAGTACATTCACTTTGCAAACATTTACAAGATTTAAATACTTATTAAGCACACATGTAAAAATTCAGATAAGGCCTTTTGTGATTTTGTGAAGTGGATGAGAGCAGCAGTTTATCTCTGAAGTTGATCCCCAATGGGAAAGTAGCAGTCTGTCAAACAGATTCATAACACTGTATTTCAGCTGTGAAAAAATGAATGCTTTTGTTAATGGAATTATCTCCAGAAAAAGAAAGAAGAATTTTAAACACAATTAAAATTGTCTTTTTTACTTAAACTTAATTTTAAAATTAAGTTCACTTTTTTACTGATGCTTGATACAGTTCAGATTGACAAATATTAAGTAGTCCAGAAACCAGTAATTATTCGCTCTCTGGAGTGTAAGC